TTGTGATGGATAATCAGAGTCAGGGTGGCCAATCTCGGTCCTCAAGGGCCGCTGCTCTGTTTGTTTACCAGCTATCCATGCCCTATCACTGCTGATTATTTGGATCAGGTGTGTTCAGTCAATCAGAAGCCAGAAGATACCATCTTAGATGAAGGTGGAATTAGGGAAGACAAAGTGAATTTATTTCTTGAATGTAGTTTCAGACTACTCAAGTTCCTAAATGACCAGAGTCAAATTCCTCATGTGTCCAACACACGTGGCCAGTAAAGCTGATTCTGAGAAGATTGCTATAGACCCCTCACACCCTGGACACAAACAGTTTGAACTGTTAGCCAGGTCACTGTACGCCAAGACAACCTGGACAGGTTCTTCCCCCAGGCCGTCACTCTGATGAACAGTTAACCCATGGCTGCATAACAGGACAAAACCCTCAGTGCAATATCTTGTAAATATACTTCTGTATATATTTATCTAAAAACTTCCCACAACTCTCACAGATGCATCATCAAGTACTACAGCTTTAGATCTGATTAGCCTCTCTCTATTAACAGGCTATGTTCCACAGGATTTTAAGGTTGCTGTAATTACACATCTACTCAAAAGCCTACTCTTGACCCTAGCTAACTGTAGACCAACATCCAATCTTCCCTTTATGCCAGCATTTAGAGTCCACCATAGTACAGAAACTGCTCTGGTGAAAGTCACCAGCGATCTCCTCCTGGCCTCAGACAACAGCCTCGTCTTTGTACTTGTCCTCTTGGATCTCAGTGCTTTTTTTTGCTCTTCACCTTGATCCATCCAGGTTTACTGGACATTAGTGGTCCATGAATTGAACTGCCAACCTTCCAGTTACACTTTTCTCACCAAAACCAATCCCCAGCTTGAGCCTCTCATGTGTTTGCGTCATGGTAACTATCAGTTTCTTAACTAACTAGATAAGTCATTTAAAAACATGTACTGCTGTCATGACCCTGTTTTCAGAATCCCCGCAGACTCTTCCAGCCATCACAGGCTACAAATATTCTGTTCTCATGTTACCTGATTTCCAAGTTGTTCCTGAATGAAAACAGTGATGGTAGCCTGTAGGCAAATTGGGAAACGGGTTAAACATCTTTTTTTACTGTATGTTACAGCGGATGGAGTGTTTGTCCAAGCAGGTAGTGTGTCTGAGGATTCTGAAAAATACAGTCAGAACTGGAGTGAATGATTTTCAACAACTGCCTGTTTTTTTTTTAGTTATTTATCTTTTGAACAGAGTGAAGGTTACTTCTGTTACCTAAATGTATGCTGATCCAAATGGGACTGCACCACTTTGAATACTTGACTGGGACTTGAACCTGTGACTAGCATTCTCTGAGCCACCACTCAGTTGCTGATAAGAGAACACAAATGCAAATGGAAATATGTTTGCTTTGCCAAGACATTCCCTGACAACGTAACAGCTTATCTATCCATGTCAGGTGTTGCTAAATTGCCAGGAAAACAAGCACCAAAGCCTTGTGATTGCCCAGGGGAGTTTGTTGACACCGGCAAAGAGATGATGAGAAAAGCAAAGGAGAGAAGAGGGGATGGAAGATGAGACGACGTCCTTCCTCATCATCTGAAAACAATAAGATGACGAGAATAGGAATTAAAGGACCAGAGCTTTCTAATCTGGAGCAAGAGAGGAATGTTGTGGAGATGCCACAGCAATCTTTTATCCCCAGATGTGTGCTGTTGGGCTCACTGGCCCGATCACTGCGCCAGACTTGGGCCAGATCAGATTACTCCCTCTGCTAATGCCACTGGACATATGATCTGACAGTGATAATGATAATTACTTCAAATGATATGGCTTGTACTGGAGAAGAAAGAAAATGCTCACACACACACGCAAACAAGAATACTTGCGGAGCTTTTGCAAAAATTGCCGTTGACCTTCAGATCCGTTTGGACAAAGTTAAAAACAGCAGAGCTCTGTACATTCCTCAGCGCTACTTATACGTTTCACAGCTTCTTGCACTTTTTGTGTAAAAAGGAAGAAAATATGGAACCACAACAACAACTCGGACAGAAAGCAGAAACCGCTGCCTTTTAAGTTTTGGAGTATTAATATGAAGTTCATCATTAATTTAATGCAGAGTTAAAAACAAGAGCCAGACGCTGTCTCCAATATAATAGCTCTATTACTGATGAGAGCTTATGAATTAGGGCCTGAAGAACCACTGTTTTGTTCTCTTCAATATAATTTTAACCAGTGTTGACAGCATTCTCACAACTCAAGGCTTTCAGAATACTTTTTTGCACTTGGGAGTGTAATTTCAGGTTCTTCTCAGAAACACAGAACACATGATGAGCATTACGCCTACACACAATTACTCCTGTTTCAGCAAGTTTTACCAAACCTGAGAGGCTGGATAGAAAACGCATGCTAAAGCTGAGGAGGTGTTACTGTCTCACGGAGCAGCCAACATAAGGAAATGCAAGTCCTTTTTTTAGTCGAGCCGAACGAGGTGGCCAGACGAGTCTGTTATTGTTCTCTTCATCAACATACTCGCTGTCTTCACATCTGTTTCCACATTTTTTTTATTGGAGCTCAGGGCAGAAACTCTTGGGATGAGTCTTTAAATGTATCTTTGAGGATGTTTGCACAGGGTTCAAGTCAATGTGACGCCACTCAATAATCAAACAGCAATATTAATCAATGCTTGGTTTGATTTTAAAAGACTAAGAAAATACTGGGGTGGGTTTCCTCTAACTCTCAGCATTTCTCCTTAATAAGGCTGCTTTTTGACTTTGTTGACACTTTGCCCTTAACTTTCCCTTATAAACATTTCTTACACAGGAATTACCCAGTGGGATTTTTTCCTGTTCCAAACTGGATAAACATTTGGAAGAAGTATTTCCCACAGCCTTTCACTTGTTCCACCTCATGAAGTCATCAGAAACTGGTTTGTACCTTGTTTGTGTTGTATTTAATTTGCTATAAACAAAGTTCTGACAGTGTTGTAGTGATTGAAACACAAAATAATTCACAACACAAACAGGTAAGCACCACAACAAGATCCGAGGGATGTTTTGAGACTGTCCGCCTAAGACAAACAACAGAATGAGTTTTTTTCAGTAAATGACCCCAAAAAACGTGAGTCCACACAGGAAGGAGGTCACGGTGGAAACACTGGCCTGTGCCACAGGGGATCGCTGTTTCCTTTTACCATTTCCTACCGATAGTCAACACTGGTTTATTTTAACGGGGACCCCGTTCCCTAACCTGAGCCATGTGCATGTTACTGTAATCATGACAACTAAAGTCCCCTAATCACAACAAGGTGGTATTTTAACCCAAACCACCATATTTCCCCGACCCTCACCAAACCTAAACCATGATGTTTTTAAAAAAGCGAAGCTATTTTGTCCGGCTGAGTGTCAGAAAAACTTGCTGGATGTTTCGTAATGAGACTAAGAAAAGACCGACTGAAATGTGCTGCGGTCTGACAGTGACGTTCACGGTGCGGCAGTAATAAAAGCACAGCTGGATGGCGAGAGCGAGGCTAAGCTAGTGAGGTGATGGTGAATTTTACACCCGAAATGACTGTAACTCAGAACTTGCTTTATGAAACAGAATTTCCTGAAAACAAGCTTGATGTATTGAAGTAAGTCTGGCTTGGAAGCATCTCTTGGGAGAAACAATCATGCTGTATTTGCTTGTTCAATGTGGGCAACATGTTACAGTTACAGAATGTCAGTACCTTTCATCAAGGACAACCCACAGTAACAACGAACAAACCATCCTACAGCACCTGAGATCAGTAACCGACCACCTCCAGGACCCCGTGCACTTTGCATACAGAGCCAACAGGTAGGCAGAAGGTTTCATCAGCTTAGTCCTCCACCACATTCTACAGCACATAGACAGCCCCCACAGATACATCCGCATCCTGTTTGTGGACCCTGATATCCACTTCAGTAAACAGAGGCACCTGAACATTTCCCTCCCAAAGCTCTGTGCTCTCTCCTTCGCAGATGACACAACATTAATTAAAGGTGATGCCTACAATGAAGAGGCCCATCACTTGGAGTCAGTGTGAAGAAAATCATCTAGCGCTGAACACAAAAAACTGTGGAGGTGAATATTAGTTTCAGACATAACAAGTCCGCCCCCTCCATGGCTCATTCTGGAAAAGACAGTAACTGGAGTCTCACACATTCCATAACCATCATTCGGCAGGTTTTCAAATGGGGCCTGTATCCTCCATCACCAAGAAGACCTGGCAGTGCGTGTGCTTTCTACAGCAGCTACTAAAGTGCCACCATTGCCACTGGTGCGGTTCTACACAGTTCGAGTCAGTCCTTTCCTCCTCGGTCACTGTGCATCTACACCTCCAAGGTCACAAAGAAAGTGTGTAGACCATATCTGCCCCCCTCACCCCCCTGCTAGTCTCTTCCTAAAACACCTGCCACCTCCATAGCTTCTTTCCCCAGGCAGTAGCCATCTTTAATAAGGACAGTATAAAACTGTAAACTGTCTCTGGACCACACTGAATTCCTTGTACTTGTTACTTGATGACTAAACCTGATTCAGTGTTTTCTGGCTCTGCAGGAACATCAGACCTGCATCACAGATAAGGAAACCTGAACACAAATGACCAGAGGTAAGTCTGTTTTCCTCCACTTTTACACCATGCTCCGGAAAAATGGAAAACTATTCATTTCAGCCCACAACATGTTGGAATTATTTACTGGGTCAAAAACGGCACGTGTGTCAACACTGCACATAACGAAAACAACATGTTGGAATTATTTACTGGGTCAGAAAAACGGCACGTGTGTCAACAGTGCACATAACGAAAGAGCAAAAAATGAGGGGAATCTGCAGATATTTGCAGTCCAACACAATAAAGAATAAATCAACTGAATGATCAGCTGTATCAGACTCTGCTCTAGAAGCAGTTTGTTCTTCCAGCCCCTTATTGCATCTGCCGTTTTCACCTCCCCCCATCTTTCCTCCCCTCCCTCCTCACCTGTGGGACACTTTTTTTTCATTCTGCACCTCTGCGTCTCAGCGTGGGACGGGCAAAGCAAAGTGGCTTTCTCCTCCGCCCTTCTCCCAGGCTGCACAGCCCCTCGGGTCCTGGTCTGCTTGCCCCACCTGAAGCCACAGGTGACGTTGTTACGGAGACAGGTGCTCCATTCGCTCCATTCTCGTAGTGGAGCCTGGTCACAGTCCTCTAAGACAGAGAGAGAAGGGGATCGGAAAGAGAAGCTATGAGCTAAATAAACATGTTTTAATGCCAGAAGACAAAATTAATTTGAAATTCAGGCTTTTCATTGTATTTTACAAAACCAGACAATAATGGAAACAACTGGAATTGCAGAAGCCAGCTTCTTAATTAGTTTCACATGTGATCCATTCAGGGAAGCTTAAGGTCAGCAGGAAGAAAATTTCCATAACAGGTAAACACCCCAGGAATAATGTTTTAGCTGAAGTATGTGCTATAAAATACAGAGTGAGATAATAAAGATAAATAAGTACATTTCAGACATAATCCATGCAGCGGTAAGACAATGTCTTCTGGCAGCTACACCGCTGTGAATGCCAGCCGATACGTTAACACACGGGGCACTGCACTCGTAGCGTCTGGTTGCTGATGAGTGACGTCACCTATAAAGGCCATCACCACAAGGTTTTCCATCAGGTCCACAACGGAGAAGCCAGCAGCCTCGGCCAAGATTGGATAGCATTTCTTGGTAATCATCATTACCATTGTCAGATTTGAAAGAAATAGATCTCCAGTGACTCTTCTGGAGTTGCTTGAGGTGTGTTCCAACAGTCAGCCATGAAACCTTAACATCGCCATTAAAACCAGATGTGTTCACGATGCCAAGAAACAACAGTAGCTGCAGATGGTACAGGTGGACGGCAGAGGGGGGATCTGGAGTCCCGAGCAGCATCGATGATGAGTGAGCTCACTAATGTATCTCACTTAGAAAGGAGGGATGATACACGATGAGATATGAAGATCAATTTAAATGACTTCTAATGAGAATCATGTGTTTCACTGAAGATTTGACTCTAAATCAGAAAAGATTTAGCTGAAAAGTGGGTGACAAGAAAGAAACGAAGTAAACGAGTGTTCAGAGAACCAGTGGAAGATGAGAACTGGTTCTTAGAGGAAGATGAGAACTGGTTCTTAGAGGAAAATTTCAATAATAAGACACCGTGTCCCAAACAGAGGCAGTATTTGTAGTTTAGATGTATCATTAAGTCATGAGCAGGATTTAATGTAATAAAACAGATTTAAATTTAAACATGCTACAGTGATTTGATCCATATAAAATTATTTGTTTCATTGTCTTTCCTGAAAAATTCTAGTTTCCCAAAACAGGCACAATCACATTAGTTGTATTATTTCTGTAAAATCGGCTCGGTAGAAGAGGAAGAAACACAAAGCACAACCAAGATAAAGAACAGGTCTGCTGTTGATTAAACCTCTCAGATTAGCTTCACTGATGTATCCGTTGCAGAGTGTTTTGGCCGGGGTCAGTGTGTCTTTAGTTCATAACAGACAGTAACTTAAAACATCATTTAAAATGTGTACAGTCACAAGTAAAAGTCATGGCACTGTTTGCTATTTCCTGGTTTTCCTGGGTTCCTAAATCTACTACAGAATGGTTTATATGATTCATCATCTAGTGGTCTACTTCTCTGTGTGCAGACTTGCCTTCGTCCTGCACTTCAAGCCAGTGTCTGTCATTTTCGACTGACTGGGTTAGCTCATACGAGGAGGGGCCTGCTCTGGTTTCCAGCCTGCGTGTACCACTCTGCACTGGCTTCTACAGCTGATCAACAGTATTGAAATATGTTGACTAATCCATAAGTCTCACCCGTTTGTTTTCATCATGAAGTACATCATTAACTAACCTATAAAGTGCATCACTGTTTATTCTGTTTGGGGAAATGCCAGATTTTTGTATTAGCATTAATCAAGAAATGCTAATGCTAATTAGATGGGTCTGATTCAAAGGAATATGGTGGGGCACAACACACTGAAGATGATTAAAGTTTGCTGTAGTTACTGTTGCTCACTTTAAGACTCAGTCAAGTTAATAGATTACAGTGCCTCCTTTCATTTGAAATAACTTCTCTAAATAATACAAGCTGTGTTTGTGGTGTGTCTCACTTACCTAGGCAGTCTGTTTGGTGGGCGAAGGTCCCTTCTGGGCAGCTGGTCAGACACTTGCCTTTGTACAGCTGGAAGCCGGGCTTACACTTGGTGCAGAAGTCTCGGCTGAAACAGTGCTCACATTCCACAGAGCGGCACTCTGAGAGGAGGGAGGAGGGAGACGTCACACAGCCAGTCACCAAACAGTCTGCAACATCTTCTCTCTTCAGAAAACTGGTGGAATCCGAGAGTAAGGTCTCTGCTTTATTTATTTATTTGGTAACGCTTTATTTTACAGGTATTAATTACAGAAAAACAGGGACAAAGTTCTATGACTGAGTTGAGTTTAGTTTGTTATTGTCATTTATGCTGAACTGAATGGTTGTTTGTGGTCAGATTTCACATTCTACATGTGTAGTTCACCTTCTGTCCTCAGGTTTGTGCAAGCTTGGCATTTAGAAATAACTGGAAGTAAACCAGCTCTCTAATTTTACCTGTAATTAGTACCAAATGATATTTTTCCTCCCAGGAAAACATCTTAGGAAATCCCTGTTTATTTCTAAAAAGAAATAAACAGGGATTTACAGACCTGTAAAATAAAGCATTACCTTTTTTTCTCTAAAGTTTAAGCATAACGATTTTTTCTTAATGTGATTTATTTTGTGTTGGAGCAGGGCATCATAGTAGCATATATCTTATAAGAATACACCAACAAAATGTTGTTTCAGAGAGGATGAAGCAGTGAGATATGATATGAGACCCATGAAGGGCCAAATGTTTACAGGACTGTTAGAGTTTGTTGGCTAGAAATGGAAGTAACTAATCAAACCTACTGTACAGGTCTGAAAATGATCGTATCATACGGTATTTGGAGCAGTGATGGGGTTTGTCTTGGAATTGGATTGTAGATAACCTGACATGTTGAGCTACTGGGCTTCTCATGCTACCTCCAGACTTTGATTCAAGTCATCACAGCATGTGGTTTAATTTGCTACATAAACTACAGTACAGCCATGCGACAGAAACTGGCACTGGGCTGGTTGCATGTCGCAGCTGTTTTCCATAAGTTCTAGTCCCTATTTTGTGTTGTCTCCAAAGCTGCTTGCAGTTAGTGGCTCAGCCAGGCTGGTTCCTGCTGTTGCTCTTTCCTAAGATTAGGTCAGATCAGAAAGAATTTTAGTTAGAAATGCTGCTATCAGGTAGACGGGTGCTGGTATCAGCAGCTGCAGTTCAGGAAGAACTGGGCTTACTGGCATCGCTTTAGTCAAATAAACCTCTCAGTAAATGAGAAGATTTTTTTGTTCTTTGATTAGGACAGCGTGTTTCTGGGACAGATTAAACAAGGTGCATCTCAGTAAATCTGTATACTCTGTGTATTTGGGCACTGTTTGTTGTTAGTGAAGTAAATGCTTTTCATCTGACAAAACTAAGCATTTCCACTACTAGTTTGGGCCTCGAGACAAATGAGTCATGAGAGACCTGATATCGGATCTATGCAGGTGAAACAAAACGTACTCATGCAGCGGCTGATGTCCTTCCCTCTCTGCCCGTAGTGTCCAGAAGGGCAGGCGTGGAGACAGGTCCCGTGGTGCGACATCCCCTCCCTCTGCAGGAATAGGAAGAGTCGCTCTGGGCAACGCACACAGCCGTTGTCACGGGAACACTCCAGACAGCTCTGACAGTCCTCTGATGTCTCCCTGTGGGCTGAAGGTGATAACAGATTAGGACAGAAACAAACTGAACAAAGGAGAAAGTAAAACCAAAGTAGCTTAATACTGTAGAGAGGGAGGGGAGGAGGAGGAACAAAAGGAAACATCACAAATCCTTATGAGACCAAGAGAATTTCTGGACTTGAGGACAAATCCACCACTGAACTCCCTGAAATACAGAGGTGTAGCTGCTGTTGGCCGGGACACGTTCACATTCAGCCACAGGATCACACTTTTAACACTACAGCAGACTGCACACTGTAAAACATGACACAGAAATGTAGTGGAATCAACTAAGCTTTTTTTATTAACGCGATGTAAATATGTACGTTTTGTTAATTTTATGTTAATTCAACTTAGAATGTCTGGTTTTAATATCAGACCAGGATATTTAGAACCTGACTTGTTCTGACTTGAGGTCTTTTGACTTGAAATGATGAGCTGAATGAAGTCCACTCAACTCATTAAATTAAGTTTTTAAAGAAAGTTCCCAGCATGCCTCGGTGCTGACTTCAAACTGGTTGGTTGTTGTTTGTATTTTGATGAGCCTATTCCTGTTGGAGACTTTGTGTGTGTGTGTCTTTAATACATATTAAATTAGGTCATGATTGTTTCTTTTAATCATAATAATAAAAACTATGCAAACCGCGATGAAGGTCATGACTGAATTCAGTGCACTTAGAACTAGCGAAGCCAGCGGGCGCGGCCTCACATGCTGCCTTTGTACTGACTCTGGTACAACGTGTCTCCAACAGCTGCAGCTGCAAGTTCTTCATGTCAGATGAAAAACTGACCCTTCGAACTGGAAAATGTCATAAATCTGTCTGTAGCGACTGACCATGTGACTAAAACAGTTGTGTCATCTTTAATTTACTGAACTTGTTTTCTACATTCAGTTCACTTAGATGAGGTATTTTTACATTTTCCAAAGTCATGAAACAAAACTGAAATAACAGTTCAACCTAAGCTGAGTTCATGTTTTCAGGGCAGCGTTTCTAAGTGGAACCAGCTTGAAATGATTTACAGTGTACAGCTTATTTTTCTGTGGACATTTAAACGACTTGTGACTAAGTAACTCCGTACTCTTTGTGTATAGAAAGATAAAAAACTGACACATAGTTGTTTATAACAGACCCTGTTCATAATCATGTTGAAGTGTTAAAGCAGGCTTTACTTTATTTGGAAGATGTAAATTAACAGGGGATTATTTGTGCTTTTGAAAAATGAAATGTTAATGCAGTAACCATCTTTCTCCTTTATAGAGAGCTTCTCTATAGTACTGCAGTAATCCACTGCATCATATAAGGCAAGTCATTATGTTATATAGCTATTCCACGTAATTCATTTCAAAATCGGAGAGATACCGTTCAATTATGCTGAAAGCTGCAGGTTGGAAACAACTTCTAATGCTGTGCTACATAGTGAGCCTACATCTGACGACTCTCAGCCAAAACAATTATCCCCCATTTTGAAAGACAAGTCCATCACAGATCACTGAAATGATGATGACTTACACCATCAGTAGCTTTGGAGACTTGGAGCCATCTCAAGATTTTTCCTCACAAAATGAGGCATCTGTGTTAACTGTCCTAAATGTTTAATTGTATGGAAGACTCCTGGATTGCACAGAAAAAATACAATAAACATGTCTTGTTAGAGAAAAAGGAAGGTGGGTCTCAAACTCAAGCTGCATAATGACTTAGAGGCTGGATCCTCAGGATGACATGGCTCATGAAGGTGTGCACCATATGGTCCGCAGGTTGAAGTGATAACATCTAAGCGTCAGTTATTACTACACACATTTTCAATTATTCCCCATCGGTCTGCACTTAGCATAGCTGGTTTAGGAAACACACAGCAATGACCTCTGACCTCATATGTTCAGGATATATTTTTAGGTAATCTCAGTTTAACAGATATGAGCAGAGCCATTAATAATCGAGAATAGAGAAGAACAGATAGAATGGGCGAGGAGAAGGCCAGTGTAAAGCAGAACACAGCGACTTCCCCCAGTGTAACCCAGGGACCCGGTGCACTGTGCAGCTTCGGGACCTCACTTCAAAACAGTTCTCTGCACATATGCAATCAATCTGCAGGCTTAAGGGACGTTTAGAGGAGTGGCGGGCTTAGGTAGCATAAAACAGTGACTTTTGACCTCGCATGGGATTGCCCAGGATTCTTAACAAGCACCAGGTGCAACAAGCCCAACTGGAGTTTCAGGGAAATTTGCTAGTTCTTAAAAAAGGACCCTAAAACCGAAGGTGGTGAAGGTAACAAATGGTCAGAGAGCTAAGAAGGATGGATTAGCTGTATAGTTTAAGACTGAATAGAAGCAACGAAGTCTGATGTGATACAGTATTTTCTAGTAGTTACACAAAACATACAGTACAATATATACTGTATGTCAATATTTATTTTTGTAAATGATTCATTGGTTTTAATAATGGTGTGTGTGTAATTTTAAATAATTGTTATGTTAGAATGTCCTGTGACTATAACATTTAATTTAAGATACTCTTCACATGAACAGGCTACAAGTGTTTGCATTTCTTATTACTCACATAATATTCTAACAATACCTGCACAATACAGTAGAGTAGTATATTACTACATGTGCTACTGTTTTAGCCTGGGAGTAAACTGCATGTCACAGAGGTGAGGGTGAAGGTGAGGGTTCCCCTTCTCTGCTTCACCGGTAGGAATAGCAGGTATTCCATTTTAGGTTGTGTTTTCGTCATAGCATAGAGCCAAAATACCCACAATGCACCATAATGTGTACATTAACAAGAAAAATGTGCAGGAGGACGTTAAAACAACACAAGATGGTCGGTTCCTGGTGAACTGGTTTAAAGATGTGCTGCTATGTAACACATTGTTTCACCACGTGTTTTAGGAAATTTGTGCAGAGTTACATCTTCATATCTCCAGCTCCCCCACAACCCTCTTCAGGAATAAGTGGTATAGATAATGGATGGATGGATGTTACATCTCCATAGTCTCACTGCAGACTTTCTGTGAGGATCCTGTCCAGTTGGATGAGTACAGTAAGCTGCTTGTACAAGCTTGGTCTGACACATTCTTCTAACCTCAGAGTTCCTG